TAACACCGTTGACACCTCGTCGTTAGTCAGAGTAATGTCTTCGAGAATATTGTCCGGTTCCGGATGCTGTTCTGGATTGAAGTCGTTGGCGGTGTCGCTAGTGAAGATCGATGCGAAGTATTCGTTAAAAGTGTTTGCAATCTCAGCGTTATTATCGAAATACATTCTTTGATTTTCGCCAGTTTTGACCGAGACTTTTAATGGAATATTGGAAACTTTCGACTTAATCTTGAAAAACGACCAGAAACGTTTTGGATTGTACTCTCGAGAAGAACATATGGAGTTGATATAGTCCAAGCGACCATCACGCAACATTCTTTTGATTGTCGTGCGGAGCTCTCGAAAGCTTTTTTTGATGTGATCACTTGGATGGCAGGATCTTTTAATCCATATTCTAATGGAGTTTTTCTTTTTGATGTAATGAAGTATCGTGCTGTTCATCCAAGGGAGATGGTTTCGATCTCGGAGTGTTTTTGTTGGCACAAATTTCGAGACCGCTTCCAAAAACGCATTTTTCCACGATATCCAATCCTGGTTGATTTCGCCATTCTCTGATATGTGTTGACTGAGATCGAGGGTTTGAAGATGCCTTCGAAGACCATCGAAGTCACTGCGTCGATAATCAAACACCGTTCGTTTTAACTTAGGGAAAGGATTGTATGAGAGGAAGAGATCGAAAATGATAGCATTGTGGTCAGTGGAAGTGTCTGAATCACTTGGTTTCAAGACTTCGATTATCTTCACACGGTCGGGATCAGTGGTAATAACAAGATCGAGAATGTTTTCGCCTATGGTAGGAGATCTCTTCATTTGTTCCAAGAAAAAGTCGTTTAATAATTTCCTAAATGGATTCTCATTAACGTCAGTGTAATTATCTCGCGAGTTCCAGCCTGCGCGCGCGAAATTGAAATCGCCTGCAATTACAATTTTTGAATGACGTGTGCAAACATCATGAAGAAAAGTTTCAAATTTATCGATCCAAGTTTTGTCAGCATCTGGTGGACGGTAACATGAGCAAATAAGCATTTTTATGTCTTTCGCAGTTGTTACTTCAGCCATAGCAATTTCGAGGTCATGATTGTGTTTGATTTCACGCACAGAGTTAAACATTGCGGTCTTGATTCCCAGCAAAACTCCACTACCTCGCGTTTTACGATCTTTTCTGATAACAGAATAACCCGAGTGTAGAATTTCAGAGTTGTAGATATGTCCTGAGAGCCAAGTTTCATTAACACAGACAATACCAAAACCTTCGGAGTAAACAAGGTTTTGAAAACGATTTAAATTACTTTCCATTGTATTGTTGTCAGTTTTAACGGAGCTTGTCAAACTTCTTGCATTTAAAACCAGACCTTTTACACTGCTGATTGCGTCGTCTTTGGGTCCCGTGACCAATCATAATAATCATAATAAATGATGGTTGCCATGGCAACCATGACTCTCATTATGATGATTTTGATCATAAATAGCATATTAATTAAAATAAATGTTGGTTGCTATGGCAACCATGATGATCATTATGATGATTTTGATCATAATTAGCATATTAATCATAATAAATGATAGATGCCATGGAATTATTATGCTCATTATGATGATTTTGATCATGATTAGCATATTAATCATAATAAATGATGGTTGCCATATCAACTGTGATGATCAATATGATGATTTTGATCATATGTAGCATATTGATCATAGTAAGTGATGGTTGCTATGGCAACTATGATGAGCATTATGATGATTTTGATCATAAATAGCATATTAATCATTATAAATGCTGGTTGCTTTGGCAACCATGATGATCATTATGATAATTTTGATCATAATTAGCATATTAATCATAATAAATGATGGTTGCAATGGCAATTATGTTGCTCATTATGATGATTTTGATCATGATTAGCATAATAATCATAATAAATGATGGTTGCCATGGCAACTTTGATGATCAATATGATGATTTTGATCATAATTAGCTTAATGATTATAGTAAATGATGGTTGCTATGGCAACTATGATGATCATTATGATGATCTTGATCATAATTAGCATATTAATCATAATAAATTATGGTTTTCATAGCAACTATGATGATAATTATGATGATCTTGATCATAATTACCATATTAATCATAATAAATGATAGTTGCCATGGCAACCATGATGATCATTATCATGATTTTTATCATAATTAGCATATTAATCATATTAAATGATGGTTGCCATGGCAACCATGATGCTCATTTTGATGATTTTGATCATAATTAGGATATTAATCGTAATAAATGATGGTTTCCAGAGCAACTCTGAAGATCATGATGATCTTGATCATAATTAGCATATTAATCATAATAAATGAGAGTTGCTATGGCAACCATGATGATCATTATCATGATTTTTATCATAATTAGCATATTAATCAACCTCGTTCCCAGGGCCTTTTGGGACTTTATAGGGAGGGTTGAGGCTGCGGGGGGGGGGGGAGTAGAGGAAAGGCCCTGGGATCGGCCGTTCAAAATACCCACATTTCGTGGGTATTTTGAATAAGCATAATTTATGCCTAAATATTTTCAAAATGGCGGCGTCTAATATTGTCAAGTATATTGGAATTGCACTTAATTCCGCAAACTTTCCGCCATTAAATCTCAAGCCACTTTAAGTAAAGTGTCTGGAGTATATTTTGAATGGCAAAGACGTAATCGGGGTCTTACCTACAGGGTTTGGCAAGTCATTAATTTTTCATATTCTACCGTATTTCATGCCAACTAAGAAGCGCAGCAATATTGTTCTAGTTATTTGTCCTCTAAATTCAATAGTTGAAGACCAACTGAAAATCTTGAAGGATAGAGGTATCTCGGCTAATGTACTTGTTGGAAGAAGCAAAGATCGTAGCGAGATTGAAAAGTTGTTCTCATCGTCACCAGCTACTGAAGACAAATCGTCCAACGAAAACCTTAGTCACCTTACTGAGGAAGACTATCAAATCCCGAACGACATACTAAATGGAGAATGTTCGATTGTATTTGCCCACCCAGAAGCTCTATTAAGCAAAGAAGGACGAAAATTAATGACAAGTCAAATTTACCAAGACAATGTTGTAGCTTGTGTAATTGATGAGGCACATTGTGTTGAGCTATGGTAAGAAATTATTAAACGTCAATGATAGCAGCCTTGCTTGCAAAATAATATGTTCATGCAATGCCAATAGATTTCCTTATACCAGATGACCACCTTTTCAAATCTCATCAAATGGGTTATAACTGAAACGCCATGCTTGATGATTGCAAATTAAAATGGCAGTTTCAGTTTATTATACTGTATAAAACTGTGAAGAATTGATCACACTTGTAACCACTCATCAGTATTTGAATAGTATACATTTTGTCAAAATTGTAGTCATCATATCAAAATGTTATATGAAAATATGCAATGCTTGCTATGTACTTATCTGAATATATATTGTATAATGTCACATCCTTTTTCTTGTCAGTGAGGTACTGCATTAATGAATAATTGATTTATTAAATAATCATAATTATTTGGTAGGGGCGAGGAGTTTCGAACAGACTTTAAAGACCTATCCTCACTAAAAGCATTCTTTCCATTGGTTCCAACTATTGCGCTGACAGCAACAGCTTCACCAGTAATGTTGGAAAAGTTGAAAAAAAGTCTTCTGCTTGCCAGCTGCAAAATTGTGTCTGTCAACCCAAACAGAATGAATATATACCTGGAAAAAAAGATTCGACTTAGCAACAACGTGGGTAATGAGAGTTATAGAGCCATTATTGAACCAATTGCTCAGGAGCTAGCAATTAGAAGAGAGAAATACCCAATGACAATTATATATTTAAAGTTGAAATATTGTGGATATGCTTACTCTCTATTTGAGAGAATTCTGAAGGATGACCAATATGTGGGGAACTCAAAAGAGCCAGCTGGGAGACTTTTTGCACAATTCCACTCCCCACAAACTGACCGTATGAAAAAGGAAATCATAAGAGAGATAAAGAAAGAAGACTCAAGGGTAAGAATAATATTTGCAACTTCTGCTATTGGAATGGGAGTGGATTCACCATATGTCACAAGTGTCATTCATATCTCACCACCAAGCACACTTGAGGCCTACATGCAAGAGATAGGACGTGCTGGTCGAACTGTAGGCTTACAGGCTAAAGCAACCCTTTATTACAACAATTCTGACATTAGCAAAAACATATTACACGTACAACAGTGTATGAAAGATTACTGCCAAGCTTGCGACACATGTTTGAGAAAGGTCATTGTAGAGTATTTTGGATTTAATTTAGTGAAACAGAGCAATTGCTGCAGTATTTGTGATGAAGGCAGTAAGACCACAGAAGACACATTCTCTCCAAATATAAAAAAAGCCCGGGAACTACCCATGGAAAACAGGATTCCTCTAAAAGAATCAATAAAAGCAATTTTGCACAGCTCTTCAAAAACATTGCAGTCTATACCCATGCTTGATGTCCCATTGTTAAACATAAACACCATGACTGAAAACATAATAGATGGTATTGAATATATCGCAAGAGAGTGCGATCTGTTATGCACATTTGGGATATGGGATGAAACTTGCTCATCCCAGATTTTTCTGTTATATGTGACCTCACAGTTTTGACATGATGTTTGTAATGCAAATAGCAACTTTCAAACTGGAGGAACAATGACAATGATCAAAGTATGTATTGGTAATAGTTTTGTTAACAGATTAACAGAAAAAAAATTTGTTAACAAATTAACAGACAGCTTTGGGAAAACTATGTAAATTTTATTACAGTATATAAACACAAACCACAGAGTGCTGTCTTTGTAAATCATAGAGATCATAAATAACACTAAAGTGAGAAATTTACATTGTCAGTCAAACAAAGGGAACACAATAATATGTGGCAAAAAAATGGAAGTGTTAAAAAAAAGCCAAGTTTGATTCAAAATTTCTATTTAGTTCATATCCATATTTTGTTTGAGTGTTTGACCTTATATGTTATGGTGGAATTGATTCCAACATACAATCAAATAAAAATATATAGGTCAACTTGAGAGTTCTTTCATGTGTTTTGCTAGCCACTGATGGAATTCGACAATGTTCAGATATTTCAGAGGACATTGTTTAATTTCAGGAAAACTCTCATGACATCTCAAGGGTACATGAGTGAAAGGATTGAGGTTTAAAAGATCTGCAATCATTTCTTTTTCATCTTCTAGGGAATCCCGAGATGTATGCTGGACAGATTTTTTGTGAATTGCTTCTGTAACTTGACTTATCCCTGTTGTTGCTCTGCAGATTTTACTAATGGAGTTCAAAGTTTTGTTTGCACCCATGCGTTGGACAATACTCTTTGACACTTTGTTGTATATTTCCTGTGCCAAGTCGTCCTCAATATTCTTCCCTGCACCTCCTCGATAGTTCACAAAGAATTCCCATTTGAATTCGTCTGACAATCTAGGGGTCAAGAGGCATTCAATCTGTGCTATGCTAACAAACATCTCGATAGCATATTTGCTGTAACTTCCCATTGATTTGAATACAGCCAGTAACAGTTTTTGATTGATCAGATTTCTGTTGCCATCAGCTTCTTTAGCAGTATCTTTCATTTGTAATAGCAGAATAGACAAGAAGATGAAACACAACCCATAGTTCATGACATAGTCTTCATCATCATTCGACTCGTTGGTACCTTTCTGCAGGACCATTCTGTCAACGAATTGCCCAAAAACATTGTCATAGTATCTTGTCTTGCTTTCTTTGTTTGCCCTCCTGATGTTGTCGGGGAAAACATGGTCAGTAGGTTTGTCGTCAAGCTTTTTCATACCAAAAAACTTAAGAACAGCAGCAACAATGTAAGCTTTTCCCACGCTTATAAACAAGTCCTCGCTTCCTTCGTAAGAGTCAAGAACTTTGGATGGTGTAGCATTCTTACGGTGATACTTCTCTCTAAAATACTTTAATGTCCCAACCTGGTTTACGGACTCTGATTTGTGAAGAAATGAATACGAATATTGGAGAAGTGAAGCTTTGGTATGCCACATCACAGGTTTGAAAGGCGAGCAATGCTCAAACCTATCTGAAGGCGTATGAGACCCTGACAAAAGATCCTTCGCACCAGCAAAACGCACTCTCGTTAACTGATCCCCGGCAAATGCAATCTTCATATCTCTCATTTGATCATTCGGAGTTGCTGCTTGATGGGCATGCGTCTGACCAGGGGCCGCAGGTCCAGCAGGCACTGGTGGATTCTCTATGGGGGGCATTTCTTTGAGAAAACCAGCTTGAACATATATTTCAGAAATCCACTTTTCGTAAGTACGAAGGATGGAAACACAATCTTCATATTTTGCCTCATTGGCATTTATTATAGGCATGCTAACAATGGTTGACTGCTGTTCCATTTCTTTACTGTAAACATGTGAGATATGTTCCGGAACAACACCATTTAGAAACTTGAAATGGGGAAGATATTGAAGAACAATCCGACCTACAATAACCTTGGCATTGTTTGCATACTGTTTCCACTCATTTACATTTAAAGAAAATGTGGAACGTGGAAGGTCGTCAATGTTCCTCTTTGGCATATCATTTGGTAAGTGATTGAATGTCAATCTGTTTTCAATGAGATTGGTGGCAAACAAGTGAAGATCTTCATTATGAATGTTCTTTCGCATACTACCTTTCAGAATCCTTAGATCCCAATTATCTCCTGTACCACGGAATACCTTTCCTTTCCTGATCTTATTGACAACTTGATCAGAAAAATGGCCTCCAAGCATCCTGATGAGTGCATCCCTTCTTGATGTGGACAGACACACCCCAAGCTTGTTCAATCTTTCTTGTAACTACCAGAAAAAATACACCTTTGCCTTTCTTTAAGCAGAGATAGAAATTCATTAAAGATAATCTTGCACTTTCACAATTTCACAAAAAAGTACAAATTATCTTAAGTGAATTTTTAT